TCTTGCTCATTATTTGGTCATGAAGAAGCTTTTGTTACTTAAATGTTTCATGTGATGAGTTAAAATTCTGCAGATGTTCAACAATTATGTTTGCTACTGAGTAGTGCCAGTTTTCATTTTAAGACTTTTGGATATTGTGGTCATTTTGACTATATTTACTAGATAAGAGCAAGTATATCATTCACCAATTTTTCCATGTAATTTTACTATATTCATTGAAGAGCTTCTTGAATTTTATGCAGGTTTTTCTACCATAGTGCTCTCCGCTGGTTTCCTACCTATGGGTAAGCAATGCTGCAGTAGCTTCACTACATATTGATCAATGCTCCTTAGCATCTTTAAGCAATCTCATTTCTAAATATTTCTGAAGTATCTATTTATTAATGTATGTCATTTTTACTTTTTCTGGAAGTAAAAGATTTATAGAGAAAAGGTTGACATTGTAAGTGTCACTTTGATATTAAAATTTTGATGCTTCACTCTTGAGCAAGTTGATGCATCAAATTGTCTTAGACTCTTAGGATCTTTATAGTTGTGTTTTAGTCTTGACCTGCAAATCAATTTCAATTATGACATTTATGATAAGGAATATGGGAGATGTAGTTCAGACACATCTTTAAAAGATATATGAATACTTGTTTATTGTAGTCACTCTAATCTACATTGCAATTTAATCAATTGAAGGATAAGATACGAGGGCTATGTTACTTGGGTACTCTATTTCACCTTAGTACTTGTGTGTGTCGAATACTTCGATATCTCAACATGGATGTGGACAGTTGATACTTCACTATGACCCAATATAATGCCAAATTTTCATAAAATTGCTGCCTGACACATGGAGGCTTTTTGTAACTAGGAAACATAGGGAAAGGAGGCTGGGAAATTTTATAACTTATACATGAGGTATTATTAGAGAAGGGCAGGAATTTTCTTTATTCCCTTTTTTTTTTTACTAGGTATGTTAATTTATTATTTCTGATATGAAGTTATGTTTATTAAGATGCATACTGTCTCATTAGCGTTGGACTTGGCACACAATGACACAACTTACAATGTACTCCTCTATCTGTAAACATTATCACGTTATCCCAACCCCTCATAAGGGCGTGGTATGGCTTCACTTAAAGACCCTTTATAACAATTGTATCATTACCTTACTCTCTTTAGCAGTTATCACTTATTTTAATTAGGCTCAATTTGAGAATCCAGTAATAACTATGTTGATAAAAATAAAAAATAAAAGAAGAAGAAGAAGATATGCACACTCTTTAAAATGCAACAAGTATAGTGCATATGATGCATCTTCATTTTTTTTTTTTTTTTTTTTTTTTTTTCTTTGAGGGAAATATGATGTACTTGCATGCATTACTACAATGGGATTTTTAAATTTAAAGTTTGTCTTCTTTTTGAGGGGTGGAAAGAAATTGTAAAATTACCATGTTAGTGCTCATGTGATTTTTCATAGAGTTATTGTTTCCGCAGAAGTTATGTTGTTTCATCTACCTTCAGTAGAGATAATGGTCGTATATAAGTAAATCATGAATATTTGGTAATGGGTTTTCTTAGTCATGTATCTGCCAGTGTCTATTTTTCCCTTTCATGACTAGTTGCATTTCTGCCAGGATAAGAACACTTGATGCGGTTATTATTACTCATTCTCATGCTGATGCTATTGGAGGTCTCTGACATGAACACTTCTAATATTTGATTTTCACTTGACTCCCCTGATAGTTATTACCTTTCAGCTCACCAGCCCAAGCCTTCTTTTTGTCTTTTGGTTTAGGTCTTGATGATCTTCGAGACTGGACAAATAATGTTCAGCCCCACATTCCAATATATGTCGCAAGGCGTGATTTTGAGGTCTATACCCACATTTAATTTCTTACATTAGTGTTTGTGCTTTATAAATATAAATGCTCTTGCATAAATATATGTGTACTCAAGCTAAACTTGAAATTATATAAATTAAAACTTAAGGTTTTTAGTTCTTTCTGTTAAATGGGATGATAATCTAAAATTAATGTTCTTTGAACTGTTGTGTAACCACTACTTATGCATATGATGTGTTATTTAATCCATCTTTACTCATGTGTGATAATCTACTCATTTTTTGGTGCTTTCCAACTTCAGCTTTATTGAACATCCTTCAGGAAAAAGAGAGGAGGGGAGGGGGGGGGGGGCAAAAGAGGACAAAGACATTTGGTTTCAATGTTTCAAAAAAAAAAAAAAAAAAATCATCTGTCCTGAAGTAATGCTGTTATTCAAATTCAGAACTTTATTTACAAAAGACGCCACTTTGTGGCTGGCTTAAATTTATAGGCTTCTCTCACAAAAAAAGTGATATTATAATGCTGGGGAATCCATTTAGCTGAATAGCAAGTTAAAAGCTTGGTTGTCTAGTTTCATAGGTCTTGATGCATCTTATCTCCTCGTCATTTGTTTTCACTCGTTGTCTATGCTGTTCATTGATTGACAAGATCAAGTGGCATGCTTAGAGTAGGTGCCATTTACCAATTCAGATTGTGAAATTTGTGACCCTTGATAGTATTATATGTGGCTCCTTCTTGCACTGAAATGTGCCATTTAATATGTATTGAGATGACTATAGCAATTAAAATAATTCAGGTGATGAAGAAAACCCATTACTATCTGGTCGATACTAGTGTGGTTTTAGAAGGTGCTGCTGTCTCTGAGTTACAGTTCCATATCATTCAGGAGGAGCCTTTTATTGTGAACGATCTGAAGGTCTGTGGAATAACAACTGCATGCTTCTCCTCTTTCATGTTCTTCATGTCATGGGCTCATGGCTAAGTAGTATTTATGGTTTCAGATTACTCCGTTACCTGTGTGGCATGGTGAAGGCTATCGTTCTCTCGGTTTTCGTTTTGGCAACATTTGCTACATAAGGTATTTTGTTCAAATGATTCTGTTTAAGATCCTGGCTGTCACCTTACGACATTTATGTAGCATTCTGTAGATGTTCACCTATACTCCAATGGACTTTTGTAATTGTTTGCAGTGACGTCAGTGATATTCCAGATGAAACTTATCCGCTCTTGAAGGATTGTGATCTCCTAATTATGGTACTACCCCCCCCCCCCCTCTTTCTTTCTCCTCATCTTTTTCTTTTCTGTTTGGTTGCTTCTTACTTGCATGGTTCCTCTCTATCTACAATTTTCTCTAATTTTGGTTGGCTCTTAATATGCTTTGCTAATCCGACTTAGGATGCTTTGAAACCTGAACGGTCTACTCCGACCCATTTTGGACTGCCAAGGGTAGGCTCTAGTTCTACTGTTCATTCCATTCTGTTTTGTCCCAGATTATTTGATTTTCATTCTTTCTTTATATTCTTCTTGCAGGCGTTGGATGAAGTTCGAAAAATCCAACCCAAGAGAACACTTTTCACTGGTATGTTTTGAGCTATTATGTACACATAGCTCAATTTTCGATGAAGACTTGTCTTCAATCCGATTGTACTATCCCATTACTTTGTTTAATGTTTCCTTCATCGTTTCAACTATCCAATCCTATCTGAGATATTGGAAACTGCACTGTAATGAACAATAATGCTGATTTATCCCTCTATTTTCTTTTGCTACTGATTTGAAGGCATGATGCACTTAATGGATCACGAAGAAATAAACGCACAGCTGTTGGGTTTGAAGGATACAGAAAGACTTGATGTACAATTGAGTTATGATGGACTTCGCGTGCCTATAGATCTCTAGTCTCCCTTTCCCTTGCAGGTTTCCATCTCTCCAGATTATACTGAAGTGTTCACAATTATTTATCCAACAAGATTGATACCTTATATTCAAATCAATGCAAATTGCATATGGGCTCCAGGAAAAGTGTGGTTGGTCAATTCAGCTGCACATGTTGCATAGGTTGTAACAGATTATATTGTATGATTTGTACCTTTTACCAGAAATATAATATAAGACTGAGAACATTGTTCTCATTGTACTTCCCAGCTGTTTTTTGTTTTAAATTTTCACTGCTGACTGCCCGGTGGTGGCACAGGGAAAGCGAGGCTGGAAAGCGGCATATGCAGAGTACACTTTGTGCTCTCTTTGGCCATATTCAATAGTTACATGTTGCAGAGTATTTAGGATGTATGGAAAGTTCAACTAAGGTACACTACTGAGATGACGCGACAATTATTTCTGGATAGAGTACATCCTGATAAATCATGTCAAACATGATGGATCATAGTATAAGGAATGCAATCATCATTCAGATTATTATCATTTCATACAATTGTGGGCAATTTTGCAGGAATCAAATCAGAAGAGTTGTTTTTCATCCCATTTTTTTGGTCTTGTAAATTGCAAAAGCATGAAAGGTCATGATCTATGAAGAATATGGAATAATTGAGTTGACAATAAGTCTAATCTTGAGCTATAAATAGAAAATAATGGTAGTAGGTAGATGTTGAGGCTTCAGATGATGTTTGTCTTGTTTGGTGAAACTTGGTTGTAATATAACATCACATTCCTTCTAAATGATATTGATGGGTATTTCATAGACACGATAATCACCAACCATATCCAAAGCTAGCCAAATTAATTGACGCTTTGATTGTAAACTTGTCTACATAATTTTTTCGTGTCATATCTATTACTTCCTCTGTTTCTTATTATATGCTCTGTTTCTTTTTTACTACAATACGTACATAGTAACTTTGCATTTTCATCAAATTCATATTTTGAAACTATGCAATGAGATTAACCCAGCATCTATTAAAATATTAAGCTAATCATCTATTGAGAAACGGATGAAATACGGAGTATGTGAGAGTGAGAGATTATTCAAGAAAAATGAGAGACTGCATTTTTAGGGCCCAGGTCGGTCCAATTAGTACAGGTATAATAGGCCAAGCAACTACTACTATCGTGCTGATAGTCCACACTCCACAAGGGCAAGGTAAAAATGACCATTAGCTAGCCTGAAGACCCACTCTTCAAAAAAATTTGAGATTTATTTTATTTTTTTGAGATAAAATTAAGAAGGGTTTTTCTAAACTATACCCCTAGACTTCTTCGGTTTTTAAGTTGTGCCCACGGTTTTTTAAACGTCTAAGCTATGCCCTCCACCTCACTATTTTTAATTAAAAATAACCTATGTCATTAGCAATAAGTAACAGACGTTAAGGTCTGTTAGTTGTCGTTGCTAATTAAAATAGAAAAAAAAAACAACGATTAAAATAAAAAAAGTCCTTCCAATTCCCTTACACTGATCAAACTCCTCTTCTACTTTGTTTCATCAACACTCAAACGAAAATCAAAACCCTTATGTAGTGCCCAGAAATTTACGATTGAAATCAAACTAAGAATTTGATGAGGGATCTTCATTGATGAGCGTTCGTGGTTGAATTTCGTGGAACTCGTGTTGTGGGTTGCGTTTTGGTTGCGAGGTGGGGTCGTGGTGGCTGCGCGAATTTCACCTAACATCGAAAATTTCGGCTTCTAAGACAGGTTATTTCACATTAAATTCTGAAATTTAGAGCAATTCTTTGTTGTTTTACATATATTTGGGCAAAATGTTCATTGATGATGTAACAATTGATTCTAGGGTTTTGTTTTTTTTAAATACAGCTGGTAAATGTTGATTAAGTAAGATAGGGCTTGGGTCAATTGTGTATTTAGATATGTTGGTTAATGATTATACATTTGTGCCCCATGTTTTTGATCTGGAGGATGGGTGAAAGGGTGTTGAAAATGCATTTCATGGATAACTCTGTTGATGTTATGGTTGCTGATATAGATGAATGTTTGCTGATAGATGTAGTGAATGATATGGTTGAAAAATTTAATTCTTTTGGGTATGAACTCCCTACTTTTCCTGTGTTAAGTTATTGTTCCAATGGGAAGAGTCATGCACTTACTGAAGATAAAACACTAATGACCATGTTTGAGGTAGTTGAATCTAGAAGGATAGATATATGGATTGGTTGTTTGAAGCAACCTAATTTCATTTGGACCTTGGCTGAAAAAGTAAGGTTGAATGGATCAAATGTAAGTGGTTTAGCAGCACTACCTAAACCACCAATAACTAAACTGCCAGTTAGGGGGGGTAAGAGGGGTAAGCTTGAAGAACAAAATTCTGGTAATCTATCTCCACCCCTTCTCTCATGGACTATCTAAAATTCAATCTCCTGAACAAAGTCAAATCCTTACTTTGTCAAGCCCAAGAAGAAGCCCTAGGCTTATGGCTTCTAGCCCCCCCCCCCCAACCACACAACAATCCTTAATCAACCCTCCAACTTCAGGTGTCACCCAAACAGGTCCTAGTGTTGGTCATGCTGCCGCTACTAAACCAAACAATATTCTTAAGCCTTCTTCAATCCCTCATGGTAAAAAAATCTCAAAATCTACCCTTAAATTCAAGGGGTTATGGGTTCCACCTCAACCAAACACTGAAGCCAATGAAGTTCAAGAGGAACGACCATCATTTAGGACTAGAAAAAAGACTAGGGTTAGGCTAGATGATGATGTTGGGGTGTCAAATGTGAGTGGGGCTTTATCTGATAGTAGTGGTACAGATAGTGAAGGTGATTACCAACCTGACAAAGGTTCTGATGTAGAAACTGAATCTGATGATGATGAAATAGAGTATGAAGAGGGTGATATCAATGAACTCTTGAATCAAATTTATGTAGATGGTGGATGGGAACCATATAGGACAAATGAATGGGTTATTGATGATGATTCTTACATGAGTAGGTTGTACAGGAAAAGGGAGGTATTTGAGGAGGCAGAGTTTGGTAAAATCAGGTTGAAATAGTGGCAGTTTTTTGTAGACAAAGATCATTTCAAGGATGCTTTAAGAGATTTTTGTATCCAAGAGGGATTTGCTCTGGTTGTGAACAAGGCAGACAACCTAAGATATACTACAGAGTGTGCTGATCAAAGGTGCAACTGGAGGGTTCATGCAGCTTTGCTAAGTGATGGACACACATGGGCCATCAAGAAGTTGAGAAAAGGCCATACTTGTGACCTTAACTTAGTAAACAACCCCGTGTGTAACTATGAATGGACTGCTAATAAGCTTCTTGAGGACATAAGAGCTAACACGGACATTAAGGGAAAGGCCTTAAATGCTCTACTTTGGGAAAGATATGGTTTGATGTGCACATATACCATTTATAAGAGAAGGGAACATCAATGAAGATCATACGAGAGGGGCATGATGAATCTTACACTAATTTGCCTCGGTATTGTGAACTATTAAAGGGGAGCAACCCTAGGTCAATGGCTTTTTGCTGTTGGACTAATGTTCCTAGTCTTGAAAGATCTCTACAATATTCATCAATTTTTATAAGCTTTGTTTCACAGTTCAAGGGGTTGATAAGCGGATGTAGAGGGTTAGTTAGAGTAGACGAATGTCACTTGAAGGGAAACTTCGGGGGTATCTTATTGTCTGTCGTTTTCTTGGACGGTAACAATGAGATTTTTCCAGTTGTTGTAGCAGTTGTTGATTCTAAAAATAAGACAAGCTGGAGTTGGTTCTTTAACCATCTAAAGCAAATACTCACTGCTACAGGGAGTGAAGATTGAACTATAATGTCTGATCGACAAAAGGTTACAACTCTATGCTATTTAATTTACTTAGTTTGTTTTACTTCGTTTTTTTTGCTAATGTTTGCAATGTTTGTTTTACTTTCTTTGTTTTAATTTATGTTATACAGGGTGTAGACCCATCTTTGGACTCAATTTGGCCAAAGGTGCCTAGAAGGTATTGTGCTAAGAACTTATGTAAAAACTTCAAGAAACACTACCCCGGATTACTCATGCAAAAACTATTTTGGAGTGTTACAAATGCGTACTCAGACTACTCATTTAGGAAGGCAATGGTTCAGCTTCAAAAACATGGTGGTTTAGGGGCAGTGAAATGGTTTAAAGATGTAGGCCCACTAGAGCGATGGACAAGGTGGAAGTTTGACCTCACTTTGAAAAGTGATGAGAGCACAAATAATTTTGTGGAAAGCTTCAATAGTACTACTGGGGTGGACCGAACTTATCCAATTTTGACTCTACTAAAAGGCAAGTGTGTAGTTATTTTTGTTGTTGTTGTACATTAGAAAATGCAAGCCAATAATTACCTTTTATTTTCTATGTAATATCTGCAGGTGTTAAGAGAATAACAATGGTTAGACATTCTACTAGATAACACCTAGCAGACCAGTGGCAAGACGAAATCTGTCCGAACATAAGGAACAGGATCAGGGTACTAACTAAGGATACCAGAGTTTGTCAAGCATACCCTTCTGGTGAAGGTACTTATGAGATTCATGATGGACGAGCAAAGTTACCAGTGTCTTTAGCTGGTGGAACATGTGCATGTGGGAGATGACAATTGAGCGGAATTCCATGCAAACATGGAATCAAAACTATCTTACATGAAGGCAAGGATCCAGCAGATTATGTGAGTGAATGGTTCAATGTGGCTAAGTACAAACAAGCCTATAGCGGAAACATATCCCATGTACCTGATCAAGAGAAATGGTGTAATATCCCGTATTTTTATATGTATTCTAACTTAAATAAGTATTTCTTAAAGTATTTAAATAATTCGAAATGAATTATTTATAGCGTTTCATTAATTTAAAAAGAATTATTTTAATTTAAAGTTTATTTTTAATTATTTAACAATCTTGAAAATATTTTATTTCATAATGTGGAAACTTTGGGGCATATTATTTTATAAAAGGAAATTTTAAAGTCAATGATATTTAAGGAAAGTCAAGATACTAATTTGAATAGGAAAGGGATCATTAAGGGTAAAAAGAGAATTTAAGTCTATGAGGGTTTTAGAAAGGGAGTATAAATACCCATCACATGGGTAAATTAAACTTTGCCCAAGGCGGAAAATATCCAAGGTAACACTCTCTTTCTCTCTCCTCTTATTTTCTCTTATATTTCCCTTCCCCGTTATTTTATTTTTGGTTCATCAACACTCACACACACACCACCACCGCCGGCCACCACCACAGCTGCCCACCGGCCAGTGGCCACCACCACCAGCACTCGCCGGCAGCAGCACCACCAGGAGGGCGCGCTAGCAGCTGGCCTCGTGGTCGTGTGACAGGCTCAAGTCGTATCACCTAATCAAAAATAGTTCCTAAGTCCTTTAACTAAAGTAGATAGGAAAGTAGGGTCGAATCCACAGGGAAACATCGTTCTTCTATTCCTAATCAACAATTATAATCTAATTATTAAGTAACCAAATTTGCGTTTGAGGGAATCAAACTAATAACGAACTAAGCAAATGAAATAGTGGAACAATCAATATTAAAAAGATCTAGGGTATAGGTTCACCAATAAATAATACTCCAGGGTAAAACATACGATCTAATATCAATGCATAAATTAACCAGATTATAAAGGGTTGTCGCTACGTATTATAATCACGTAATTAATCTACTGGTATTAAATCTCATCTCTCGAATCTCGACCTAACCATTAATTGATTAACATGCCTATTGAAACTAAGCCTAAACATCAATTCTCATCTGTCGAATCTCGAATCAATATTGCATGACTTATACAATTAAACCAGGCCAAATCTAATTGCATAGCATTAAATCAATCAATAGGAAATTAACCAATCATCAATAATAAATGATAATAAATTACCCCTTCGTATTATTCATGGATCCCCACAACTCTAGAAATAAGTCTACTCACTCATAAATAAAATTAAGCTAAACATAATAATTAAACAAGACATGATTAAATCAAAGCAATTAAATTGCTGAAAGTAAAGAGGGAAGAAATCGTTACCAAAATTAAAGGAAATAATGAATTGCATAAATCAAGGAGTGTAGAGAGAATAATAGTATCAAGAACAAGCTTAAAAACTAAATCTAGAATCAAGAAAACGGAGTAATGGATAATGAAAAGCGTAAAACACAAAAATAAGCTAAAAACGTATTTATACTAAACAACTAAATCTCAATAAAGAAAAATACAAAATAAATTAAAATATCTTAATAAATCACGCGCCCGGTCGGGCGAGGCAGAGCCCGGCCGGGCGCGCCTTTTTGATCTTAAGTGCGTAGCTCGCGCCCGGTCGAGCGCGCATCCGGGCGAACCTTCGCCCTATGGTCTTCTCACTCGCCCGGCCGGGCGCGCCTTCGGGCGAGCCTTTACCCGGTCGGGCGGATGCTTGGGCAGGCCTTTTCTTCTTCTTTTCAATTGGGCTTCACACTTCTTGGCCCAAAACTAAACTTCTTCATAGGTCCAACTTGCCTGAGCTCCTATTCACTTCATCGAGCCCTTAATCACTAAATTGATTCCTCAAATACGGTCCTGGGCTTCGAAATACGATCATAGAAATGCGTCTCATCTCCAATGCTCACGGTGGCTCCACTAAGTGCCGGAAAATGTTCGAAATCTGCAGTTTCCTGTAGAATAATTCCACAACTACAAAAACACTAGAAAACGCATATTAGTAATAAATTTGGCTCTAAAGAGCCAAAAATACTCCTAACTATGATCACGGGACGGGGATAAAATACTATATATAATGAATACATCAAACTCCCCCTAGCCAAACCTTTGCTTGTCCCTAAGCAAAGATCTCATCAATGAATAAATAAAACATTCTTCACCCCAAAAATCAATTAAAACCAAGCATAACCGATTCAGGGCAAATCCAACAAATATGCATCAAAATTAACCAATCAAATCCATCTAACTACTCATCCTTCCAAACAATTGTCAAATAGAGCAAACCACAAGAGCATATAGAATTCAAGACTAGTACTCACTCACTCAACTCTCATTTATGTGGCGAGTAAAAGATGTACTCGATCGCTCTCCAACCACCCCTTTTAATGTGAACAATGCCCTCCCAAACTCATAACACTCGTGTGTTTAAGAAAACAAACACTCAACCTAGTAGTCGACTCGGAATATGTCAAAGGTCTATGCACAAAGGTCTTTGCATTCATAAACAACTAATTTCACATCCATACAACTCTATGCACAAAGGTCGGAAGGTCTTTAAAGCTTGTAACGTAAGGTTAGGGTAAAAGGTTGGATAAATTTGGGAAATTGTGAGAGTAAAGCCATGCTTAGGGGAGCCAATCCTAATAAATAAAACTAAGGTCAAAATTAAATAATGACCAAATCATCTCCAATACAACTCAACTCTACCAAAAATTGACCAAACATTCAATTATAATAAAAATTCCCAACACTTACAATTTCACTCATTCAAATATGATATTATAGAATTTGAGTGATCAACAAACCTTGAACTCTTTTTTTTTTCTTTTGATTTTTTTCTCTTTTTTTTTTTCTTTTCTTTTCAAGCCACCTTCATTTAAGCACTTGAACATCAAAACAATTTTTTTCTTTTGCTCTTTTTTTTTTTTTTTTTTTTTTGTACTCACTTGGAATTTTTCACTTTGAACAACAGTTTTTCAATATTTATTCCAATCTATAAAAATAAGAACATATAAAAACTTCTCAAGCCCGCCCAAAACTGTGCAAATGAATATGCACACTACAAACTCCCTCACCTCACTCACTAATAGCTCCCCCAAGACAAGCTTGGGACTAGTAACCAATGGGGCAAAATAGGCTTGTAATGTGGTTAATAAACAATAAACAGTCAAGGCAACAACATGGGTAGCAAGAAGGGAACAAATGTATCTAAAATCATCTGAAGGCCACCTAAAAGAACAAATGCCTTCGTCCTCCTCATTGTGCATAATAATGAGTCATACAAACACTACTCAAAGTTATAAAGCAATACTCAACTTCATTGACATACTAGGAACTAAAACACATTCCTAACCAAATCAACTAGTCAAGCACTATATTCACAAGCAGTTGGACAAAATTGACTCATGTTAAGACATCAAAGCAATCAAACATCAAATCATGGCTAACCTATCCACAATAGTCATCATCATATACCAAGAATCAAAACCATTTTCATGTATGGGGCACAAGGAAGCATGATTTATCATTCATTAGTTCGTATTTTTGTATTTTTTTTTCAAAGCAGTAAATATACCCTAGAAAGCAATAAAAAATATACTAAAACACACACAAAAATAAAATAAAATAAAATAAAGAAAAGAAAAAAATACCTACATCCAAAATCTCCCCCAAGCCAGAATCAGACAATGTCCTCATTGACTCGGGAATTAGCCTAGCGCGACTAATCATCACCATCCTCATCCATCTGGCCAGACTCATCGCCACTGCCACTTGCACCACCAGAAGAACTACCACCAAAATAGTTAGGGTGAACATCCCCCCCTAACCCTCCAAAGGGAAAGTCTCGACCATAACCGGCAAATGTGGAATAATCAGTGTAAATACCATGGGAGGCGGGATCCATATATCCCTGAGGTGGTGGCTGGTACCAGTCAGGGTAAACAACATCATCGGGAATAGCACCCCGACGAGCATAATCATCATACATAGGAAAAAGGGCTCTACCTTGGTTCCTCTCAACATACCCTAATCGTTGGTCAATAGAGCCAACCATCTGCCTAAGGTCACCTTGGGACTGCTCTACCATGCCTATGGCCTGACCTATACTCTGTAGATCCCAAATAGTCTCGGAGTCTGGTGTGGGTCGGGGTCGAGGTACCTGAGGTGGAGGTGGTGGTGCCTCATAGTGAGACTGTGGAGGTGATGGTGGACGAGGTGAGGCACGTGGTGGATGCTGGGACAAACCCTGTGCGTGAGCAAGTAGAATTTCGTAGGTATACGACTCTTACCCAGGGGGAAAGGCTGTCAACTCAGGGTTAGGGAGGGGGAAAACAGGGATGTACTCCCTGTCGACTCTGACTAACCACTCTGAAACTTGGTTACGACTGGTTTTAATCCAGTTTAAAAATTGCATGTATGACAGGTTTATCTGAGATTCCCCCCCACAATTAGTAATCCCTGCATACTTAGACTCACTAAACCCAGGTTTATGTGAATGGGGGTTTTAGCGTTGTTGCTACAGGCATTGGCGTGCCTACTCAGGTGATGAATAATATAACGGGCGATGTTCAATCGTCCATAACCAAAAACATAATGCCCTAGGATATCTAATTCGTTAGTTTGAGCATTGTGGGGTTCGTGACGTCCTAGAAAACAGGTCCTTGAAAATCTGTGAAAAATTTTAGGGACGGGGTGATGGAATGGAAGAGTACTGGCATGCTGCGAATTAGGGCAATTTTTGCCCGTTAGAGAAAAATAAATATCATTTGCCTTATACTCTTCACTCCATCTCTTGAACATGGGTAGGGAGAGAGGAATCCAGTTCAAACAGTTCGGCAAATTCTACATAATTTAAACTAATGTTTCTGTTGTTTAATCGAAAATGTAAAATTGGACCATTCCTAGATTGTACTACATTAAGGGATGAAAGAAATTCACATGTCAACTCCCTATATGTCGGGTAGTACATATCAACAAATTTTCGCATACCTATATCAGCCATGAATTGTTTAACATGATCATACAAGCCTAATTTCTTAAGAGTGTCCCGGTGTAACCACCGGGAAGAAATTACCTCACGTCCGGCGAGATTTATCAAACGGTCACGCTGATCGGATGTAGTAAATCCGAATGGTTGGCCACAAATCCGGAAGTTGGAGCTCCGGATCGTACTGAACTCCTTGGCTCGAACCCGAACCCGACCCCGAACCGCGAACGCTTCTTTGTCTCTTGAACATGGCAAAATTGTGATTGTTGAACCCTTCAAAAGTAATAATATCAGTATAGGAATGTAAGGGATGAAGAGGGGAGTATAATGATGGGAAAAACTTGAGATTTGGATGGGGGATGAAGGAAAAAACGTAGAGAGAAGTTAGAGAAAAATGGAGTTTTAGAGAGAGAAAGCAATGGAGGAAAGAGTAAGAAGGAAGAAAGAAAGGAGAAAAGAAAGTGAATCCGGAGAAATAGAGGTGCGCCCGGCCGGGCGACCTCTCGCCCGGTCGGGCGATCTTGATTCTTTATGGGAGTACATTCTCGCGCCCGGTCGGGCGGATGTTCGCCCGATCGGGCGAGTTATATATAAAAAAAATTCTTTCTCTCGTGCCCGGTCAGGCGACTTTTTACCAAAATTACAACGTACTCTCGCGCCCGGTCGGGCGAATTTTTGACGTATTCATAATTCTCCCGCGCCCGGTCGGGCGCGAGGCTGAAATTTTCGTATGTCAACTTTTCTTATTTTCTCAAATTTTTGGCTAACTCTTTGTTCTCCAACCTACGTAAAAATACTCTAAAATACGTTAGTTCCCTCTCTCGTCCTCTCCAAAAAAAAAAAGTAAAAAAATAAAATAAAAGATTAAAGGAAAAAAAAAAGAAAAATACGGGTTGCCTCTCGCAAAGCGCTGGTTTATCAAGGTCCCGCACGACCGTCTTACTATATGTTAATCAAGATGAGGAGGGATTGGTTAGGTGTAGTAATTCAACTGCACCTATCGTAGCCCCGTCGTGATACAATTTCAATCGTTGACCATTTACCTTAAAGAAACCACCGTGATCATCATATAATTCAACAGAACCGAATTTATTTGTCCTTTTATCAGTGAAAGGACTTGACCACCTTGACTTTAACTTTCCTGGGAACAGTAAGTCTAGAATTGAATAACAAAACCTTATCACCCTCTTTGAATTCTCTCGGAAGGATCATCTTGTCATGTCATTTCTTGGTTTTCTCTTTATAGACACGTGCACTATCATAGGCCTGCAACCTAAACTCATCTAACAGGTTAAGTTGAAGTAACCGTTTCTCTCCTGCTAACTTAGCATCTAAATTAAGCTCTTTGATTGCCCAATAAGCCTTGTACTCTAATTCCACTGGGAGGTGACTTGCTTTCCCGTACACTAGTTTATAGGGAGAAGTACCAATAGGGGTCTTAAATGCAGTTCTATATGCCCAAAGGGTGTCATCTAACTTATCACTCCAATCTTTCCTAGACTTTGCTACCACTTTTTGCAGAATAGCTTTAATTTCACGATTAGAAACCTCTACTTGCCTACTAGTTTGGGGATGGTAGGCTAAACCTGTCCTATGGTAGACTCCGTACTTTTTGAGAAGGGTATCTAACTTCTTTTCATGAAAGTGAGATCCTCCATCACTAATAATGGCTCTAGGGACCCCAAATCTAGGAAAGATAATTTTCTTAAATAATTTGTGAACCACTTTGGAATCATTGGTAGGAGTGGCAATGGCTTCTACCCACTTAGAAACATAATCAACGGCGACAAGAATATAACGATTCCCTTTTGAAGAGGGAAAAGGACCCATATAATCAACACCCGAAACATCAAAAATTTCAACTTCTAGAATACCTGTTTAGGGCATCTCATGCCGCCGCGAGATGTTGCCAATTCTCTGGCAAGAATCCACTACAAGAAAACAGCTGGATTTCGACGGAATTTTCTCGTCGGAAACACAGGAAATTCCGTCGGAATCAAGCCTTCCGTCGGAAGTAGTCTGTCGGAGCACCCATTGTCGGAAATTCGGCCTTTTCCGGCGGAAATTCCGTCGGAAGAGGTGATTCCGACGGAATTTCCGACGGATCTAAATCTGTCGACGCCGTTTTGACTTTAATTGAAAGTCCGTCGCAACTTTCCGACGGAAATTTCCGTCAAAGATGGATTGGATTCCGACGGAATTTTCCATCGGAAGTGGTATATTCCGACGGAATTTTCCGTCGGAAGAGGAATATTCCGACGGAAAATTCCGTCGGAAGAATCATTAACTCTCCACACCACCACTGCCCCCCTACCCCCCTCACCCCACCCTGCCCAGACCACCCCACCCATTCCCACACCCAGCGCCACCCCCCTTCCCACCCACACCACCACCAGCCCACCCCACTTCCTGCCCCCCTACCCCCCTAACTACCCCCTACCCACCCACAACACCACCAGCCCACCCTACCCCTGCCCCCCTGACTACCCACCCACACCACCACCAACCCACCTCACCCCACTCCCTAACTCTCCACACCACCACTGCCCCCCTACCCCCCTCCCCCAAAACCGTACCACCAACCCACACCACCCACCTTAACCCACCAGTCCCCCTAACCCGTACCACCAATCCACACCACCCCACAACCACCACCCAAACCGGAAACTACCCCAAAAAACCCGAAACCACCCAAAAAAACCCAAAACTACCCAGATCTACCACCCAAACCCACGCCATCAAACCCACGAAACCACCAAAAAAACCCACCACCTCCAAAAATCGCCACCCACCACCAACCCACACACCACAAACGCACACAAAACCACTTTACACGCAAAAAATAAAAAATAAAAAAAACAAAGAAAAAAAATCGCAAATCGAAAAATTAAATAACAAAACATACCTTATTAATTGAAATGGGGTCGAATTTAACCACGAGAACGGTTTAACAAGGCCAAATTCGGCCATTAAAAGTCTAGATCTAGGCTTTTAATGGTCGAATTTGGCCTAAAAAACCACCAAGATCGACATTGGGCATAGTGGTGGTACGGTGGTGTTGGTTGCGGCGAAAAGGAGGGGAAAAAAAATAAAATCACGGTGGTGTTGGTACGGTGGTCTTCCACGTTGGTGTGAGAATGAAGGAGGGTGAGAAGGAGGGGAAAGAATTCAGAGAAGAAGGAGGCGAGAAAGAGGAAAGAAGGAGAGGAGAGAGAAGGAGAAGAGATTCAGAGAACTGCATAGAGGAAGGAGAAGAGAAGAAGAGAGAGAAAGAGAGGGGAAAGAGTCGGAGAAAGAGGGGAAAGTAATAAGGGGGAAACTTAGGGTTTTTTTTATATATAAATAATTACTTTTATTCCGACGGAATATTCCGACGGGTTTTAATTCCGTCGGAAATATAATTATTCCGACAAAATATTCCGTCGGAAACTTCCGGCGGATTTTAATTCCGCCGGAAAAGTAATTTTCCGAGAGAATATTCCGTCGTAAACTTCCGACGGATTGTTTTTCCGCCGGAATAGTAAATTTTCGACAGGTTATTCCGTCGGAAACTTTTGTATTCCAACGGATTTTAATTCCGTCGGAAATTCCCGACGGAATAAAAATCCATCGGAACTTCTGAGGTTTCCGACGGAATTTAGTGTCCATCGGAAACATTTCGTCGGAAATCAGCCTATTTCTAGTAGTGATCACAAGCTATGAAAAAGGATTGAGCATCCTTGGACATGGTAGGCCAATAGAATCCTGACTCACTTATCTTGGCAACTGTCTTGGCAGGGCCATGATGTCCACCATAGGGCGAGTTGTGGCAGCTAATAAGTACTCCGTGAACATCCCATTCGGGAACACACCTGCGAAATAAGCCATCTGCACACTCTCTAAACAAAAAAGGATCATCCCAAAAATAATGTTTAACATCATAAAGGAACTTCTTTTTCTGTTGATAAGACAAGTCTGGAGGTAGAGTACCACCCACTAAATAATTAGCATAATTTGCATACCAAGGGTGTTGCTCTACAACTGCGAACAAGTGATCATCAGGGAAAGAATCATCTATAGGGAGAGAATCCTTACCATCATCATACCTGATCCGAGACAAGTGATCTGCTACAACATTCTCTGCTCCCTTTTTTTCTTTAATTTCCACATCAAAATCTTGGAGCAAGAGAACCCAACAGAGGAGCCTAGGCTTAGTTTCTACCTTGGCTATTAAATATTTCAGAGCTGCATGGTCAGTAAAAACAATTATTTTAGAACCAACTAGATATGATCTAAATTTTTCTAAAGCATATATAACAGCAAGAAACTCCTTCTCCGTGGTAGCATAATTGACTTGGGCTTCATCCAAAGTTTTACTGGCATAATAAATAGCATGTAGAACTTTGTTCCTTCTCTGTCCTAGGACGGCTCCAACTGCAAAATCACTAGCATCACATATAATCTCGAAAGGTAAATTCCAATCGGGAGCACATATGATAGGTGCCGATATTAAAGCCTACTTAATCCTGTTAAAAGCCTCAAGACACTCATCAGTAAAATCAAAAGGGGCATCTTTTAATAAAAGCTGAGTTAGTGGTTTAGCAATATTAGAAAAATCTTTGATAAAGCGACGATAAAACCCCGCATGACCTAAGAAAATTCTAACCCCCTTAACATTAACTGGTGGAGGTAATTGCTCAATCACAGAAATCTTAGCTTTGTCAACCTGTATACCCTTATCAGGTACGATATGACCAAGAACTACTCAAGTCGTATCATCTAATCAAAAATAGTTTCTAAGTCCTCTAACTAAAGTAGAGAGGGAAGTAGGGTCGAATCCACAGGGAAACAACGTTCTTCTATTCCTAATCAACAATTATAATCTAAATTCTTAAGTAACCAAATTTGCGTTTGAGGGAATCAAACTAATAACGAACTAAGCAAATGAAATAATGGAACAATCAATATTAAAAAGATCTAGGGTATAGGTTCACCAATAAATAATACTCCAGGGTAAAACATACGATCTAATATCAATGCATAAATTAACCAGATTATAAAGGGTTGTCGCTACGTATTATAATCACGTAATTAATCTACTGATATTAAATCTCATCTCTCGAATCTCGACCTAACCATTAATAGATTAACATGCCTATTGAAACTAATCCTAAACATCAATTCTCATCTGTCGAATCTCGAATCAATATTGCATGACTCATACAATTAAACCAGGCCTAATCTAATTGCATAGCATTAAATCAATCAATAGGAAATTAACCAATCATCAATAATAAATAATAATAAATTACCCCTTCGTATTATTCATGGATCCCCACAACTCTAGAAATATGTCTACTCACTCATAAATAAAATTAAGCTAAACATAATAATTAAACAAGACATGATTAAATCAAAGCAATTAAATTACTGAAAGTAAAGAGGGAAGAAATCGTTACCAAAATTAAAGGAAATAATGAATTGCATAAATCAAGGAGTGTTGAGAGAATAATAGTATCAAGAACAAGCTTAAAAACTAAATCTAGAATCAAGAAAACGGAGTAATGGATAATGAAAAGCGTAAAACGCAAAAATAAGCTAAAAACGTATTTATACTAAACAACTAAATCTCAATAAAGAAAAAAACAAAATAAATTAAAATATCTTTATAAATCACGCGCCCGGTCGGGCGAGGCACCGCCCGGCCAGGCGCGCATCCGGGCGAACCTTCGCCTTATGGTCTTCTCACTCGCCCGGCCGGGCGCGCCTTCGGGCGAGCCTTTACCTGGTCGGGCGGATGCTTGGGCAGGCCTTTTCTTCTTCTTTTCAATTGGGCTTCACACTTCTTGGCCCAAAACTAAACTTCTTCATAGGTCCAACTTGCCCGAGCTCCTATTCACTTCATCGAGCCCTTAATCACCGAATTGATTCCTCAAATACGGTCCTGGGCTTCGGAATACGATCATAGAAATGCGTCTCGTCTCCAATGCTCGCGGTGGCTCCACTAAGCGCCGGAAAATGTTCCAAATCTGCAGTTTCCTGTAGAATAATTCCACAACTACGAAAACACTAGAAAACGCATATTAGTAATAAAATTGGCTCTAAAGAGCCAAAAATACTCCTAACTATGATCACGGGACGGGGATAAAATACTATATATAATGAATACATCATCGTGCGCCGGTGGTCGAACAAAAAAAAAATTCTTTTGTTTTAAATCCTAAACTAGCCTTTAATTAATTGTTGTTTTTGGGTTTTATGATTATTTTTATGATGTTTGATAATAAGTATTCTGTATATAGATTTTCAGATTTGGTTTTAAACTAAAAATCCCCAAATTATAAACCCTAGGTTTCTAAGCTTATGTATATTGATGAAAATTGTTTATGGGTGATTTAAATTATTGAAATAAGTGTTTTAAAACACAATTACAGCAATTTTAGATGGTTTAATAAAGCTGGAATTTTTATGATATAAGCTATAATTATGTTTCTTGAAAGGATTGTTAATTTTCCATTAATTGGGAATAAAAGTAGGGAATTTAAATTAAATTTCGGCTTGTTTTAAAGGATTTATGAGTGATTTAAGGAGTGTATATATTGCTGGAAATTTGTGTGGAATAGGTATTAATGCCTCTTTGTAATTTTGGTTTGTAGGAGGTTTCCAAGTGAGTGATTTTATTTAGTCGTGGCGATTTTGAGATCATATTCAAGGTACGTTCGCGTACTTGGTAATTATTTGAGTATGTAGAAACATGCTAGACTTTGTTTAATTAATTCCAAATAGTATCATGATAGGTGTTGGTTGGAATTCGTTGATTGGATTGATGTTGGTAAATGATTTGTGATGTATGAATTATTTATGATGAATTGGTGATTGTAATTTATTATGTTGGCATGTTGATTATGAACCACACTTTTATTGTTGGCATGATAGAGAGCATGTTTAATTAAACTAAGGGGCCGATTGGTTCGCAAAGTGGAATCGGAATGGAATGGGGAAAGGGTATGGAGGAAAATGGAATGAAACCCTTGAAATTTAGGGTGTTGTTTGTTAAAAAAAAAAACAAAGGAAATGATTCCATGGAACCACCACCACAACACCACCATTTAGGGTATTATTTTGACTTTTTTTTTTGGAAATTGGTAGTTTGGAATTCCGACGGCGACCAACGAGGTCGGAGGAGTGCCGGCAAAGGTGGAGTGAGGTCGGGGGAGGTGCAGCGAGGTCGAGGGAGTGCCGGCGAAGGTAGAGCGAACTTGGGGGAGGTGCAGCGAGGTCGAGGGAGTGTTGGCGAAGGTGGAGCGAAGGTCGGGGGAGGTGCAGCGAGGTCGAGGGAGTGCTGGTGAAGGTGGGGCGAGGTCGAGGGAGTGCCGGCGAAGGTGGAGCGAAGGTGGAGCAGGTGCAGTGAGGTCGAGGGAGTGCCGGTGAAGATGGAGCGAAGGTCGGGGATCACCGGCGAAGGTGGAGCGAAGGCCGGGGAGAGCCGGCGAAAGTGGAGCCAAGTTCAGGGAGAGCCGGCGACCATCCGGCGAGGTTGGTGGGATGTGGGTATGATGGTGGTTGGGGAAAGGGAATGGTAAAGGTAGGGGGGTGGGGAATGGGGGTGGAATAAAAATGGGTAAACCCAAAAATAAAAATGGAGAAAGGGAATGACAAAAGTTGCAAAACAAACGCTTACAAAGGGAATCATTCCCATTCCCTTTCCCCATTACAGCGAAACAAACGGCCCCTAAATGTTTAATTGAGTTTGGAATATTGAAAGGAATTTTATTATGGTTCATATAATTTTTATTGATGCTATAAGCATGAGGAATGAGCTATTTAAGTGTCTATGTACACGAGGATTAAATTATATTTTGGTGCCTAAGTGCACTTAAGGTGTTCTAAACACCGAGGGATAGGATTTGTGGTGCTTTATGCGCTTAAGGTGTTATTTAACACCGAGGTAGTTTAAAAAGGATTCAACATTAAATTTATGTGGTCACTAATTATTCAAGAATTAAATTGGTATGTTTGATTGCTTGAATGAATTATAATGTTTGATTGTGTTATAGTTGAGAGTCATCACCAAGTATAATAATATGTAAAGCAACGTAAAGTGAAAGAGATTACGCACCAAAACTCTTGGAACATATATACCTTGAGTATGAACATATGGGGGGAGTTATGCGACTTTATATTTGACCATAAATTCTACTGGGAGTACAGGACGATGTATATTCCTTTTTATTATGCGCAGGAATTCCGCCACTTACGAGTGGTTCTTTTATAATGGCACTATTAGCTCCCGTGGTTCTTTTATAATGGCAGGTTAGGGGGAAACCCGTTCGATGCGTAATCAAATTAAATGGACATTGGTTGAGGTAGATTTGCCTATAGTTATTCCTACGGGTGGGGTAGTAAAGTGTAACAAGATCTTTAAAGATGTACCTTTAGAAATCGAAGGAAAAGTGTTTTTGTCAGATCTCATTGAGTTTGGGTTGAGTGACTTTGATGTCATTTTGGGAATGGATTGGTTGAGCAAGTACAGCATAGAGATTAGTTGTAGATCACAGAAAGTAAAAATGAGTACAGTTGATAATGAGTTGGTGACATATTGGATGCATGGTGAAACCAAGTGCCCAAGGATCATATCTGTGTTAAAATTGGCAAAGTATATTAAGAAGGGGCATCTAGTGTATTTTTGTAGTGTGAGGAATATGGAACATGAAGAGACAACTAAGCCTGAGGATATAGAAGTAGTAAATAAGTTTCTAGATGTGTTTCTAGAAGAGATTCCTGGAATGCCACCCAAAAGGGCAGTTGATTTCACAATAGAGCTAGTTCCAGGAACAACATCAATTTCCAAGGCACCATATCGAATGGCACCTGCAGAGATGAGTGAGTTAAAGGAGTGCCAGTATTATTTGTGAAGAAGAAATATGGAAGTATGAGGTTATGTATTGACTATAGAGAGTTAAATAAGGTCACCATAAAGCTAGAACAAGTACCCATTACCAAGGATTGATGACCTATTTGACCAGTTGAGAGGCGCAACTGTGTTTTCTAAGATTGATTTAAGGTCTGGTTACCATCAACTTAGGATAGCAAATGAAGATATTCCCAAGACTGCATTTAGAACAAGATATGGACATTATGAGTTCACAGTAATTCCTTTTGGATTGACGAATGCTCCTGCAATATTTATGGACTTAATGAATAGGGTGTTTCATCCATTTATGGAAAAATTTGTGGTATTGTTCATAGATGATATACTGGTGTATTCGAAGAGTAAAGAAGAACATGTAGAACATCTGAGGGCAATTTTGCATTCAAGCACTAAGGGAAAACAAGTTTTATGCAAAGTTCTCCAAGTGTGAGTTTTGGTTGGAGAAAGTAGCATTTTTAGGTCATTTTGTGTCCAAAGATGGGGTAGAAGTAGATCCAGCAAAGATCGAGGCAGTGAAAGGTTGGCCTGTACGCCAAAAACAGTGTCTGATGTTAGGAGTTTCTTAGGCTTAGCAGGGTATTATAGGTGTTTTGTGAAAGATTTCTCGAAGATTGCTAAACCTATGACCTCTGTAATGAAGAAGGACAAGAAGTTTGAGTAGGATGACAAGTATGAGGAAGCATTTCAACTCTTGAAACAAAAGCTAATCACAGCGCCAGTTCTTACACTGCTAGACGATAGTGGAATGTATGATGTATATAGTGACGCATCCAAGAATGGTCTAGGATGTGTACTTATGCAAAATGGGAAGGTGATTACGTATGCATCAAGTAAATTACCCTACTCATGACTTAGAACTAGCTGCAATCATTTTTGCGCTAAAATTTTGGAGGCACTACTTGTATGGAGTGAATTGTAGGATTTATACAGACCATAAGAGTTTGAAATACATTTTCACTTAAAGGGATTTAAACTCACGCTAAAGGAGATGGTTAGAGTATACGACAGATTACGACTTAGACATACAATATCATGAGGGGAAAGCAAATGTAGTCGCAGATGCTCTAAGTCGTAAGACCAGTTATGGACTAAATACTTTGATAGTAGCTGATGAGTTATGTAGAGAAATGAGGAAAATGAATCTAGAAGTGGTAGAATGGGGAGTTCTAGCAGGCATACTTGCGAACTTAAGTATTCAATGAACAATATTTGATGAGATAAGGGAAAATCAAGCAACAGATGTAAAGTTGGATAGGATTCATGAGAAAATAAAGCAAGGAAAAGCTACGGAATTCAGAATTCATGAAGATGGGAGTTTAAGGTACAAGGGTCGTTGGTGTGTACCACAAAAATGTGAGGAGGTAAAGATAAAGTTTATGGAAGAAGGCCACAATACATCGTATTCAATACACCCAGGAGGGGACAAGCTATATAAAGACCTGAAAAAGATGTATTGGTGGCCCAGAATGAAGAATGAGGTTTCGAAATTTGTGGCAAAGTGTCTAACTTGTCAGAAAGTGAAGATAGAACATAAAAGACCGTAAGGAACTGTGTAATCATTGGAAATTCCTGGATGGAAATGGGATTGTATTTCAATGGACTTTGTGACTTGCCTCCCAAAGTCAAAGAATGGAAATGACACCATTTGGGTAGTGGTGGATAGACTTACAAAATCTGTAGTGTTTATACCAATGAAGGAGACTTGGAAGATGCAATGGAGCAATTTGCAAAAGCTTACATCAAAAATGTGGTGAGATTACATGGAGTTCCAATAGATATTGTGTCTTGGTACAACACTTAAGATGAGTACAACATTTCATCCTGCCACAGATGGGAAAACTGAGAGAACTATTCAAACCCTGGAAGACATGTTGAGGGCTTGTGTTCTAGACTTCCAAGGGGATGGGAAGATAGCTTGGACTAAATTGAATTCTCCTATAATTATAGCTACCATGCAAGCATGGGCATGGCTCAATTTAAGGCATTATATGGAAAGAAGTGTCGCAGTCCGATCTGTTAGAACGACTAAGTGAAACAATGATTTTAAGGCCTCAAATGATCGAGGGTACAGTCAAGCATGTAAGGGAGGTTCAAGCTAAGATACAAGCGACGCAAGATCGCCAAAAGAACTACGCGGACTTGAAGCGTAGGGAGGAGGAATTTGAGGGCGATGACAAAGTATTGTTAAAGGTGTCACCAATTAAAGGTGTAATGAGATTTGGAAAGAAAGGAAAGCTTAGCCCAAAGTATATTGGTCCATATGAAGTATTGCAAAGGATAGGCAAAGTAGCTTATATGTTGGCCTTACCTATGGAGCTAAGTAAAGTGCATGATGTATTTCATGTATCTTAGTTAAGAAGGTATATCCCTGATAAGTCACATGTTCTACAACCCGAAACCATTGAGTTAGATCAAAGCTTAACTTATGAGGAAAGACCTGTCAAGATCCTTGACAGTAAAGTGTGTAGTACACGCAATAAGGAAGTTAAGATTGTTAAAGTGATATGGTCTAACCAAGAGCTTAGTATGAGGAAGAAACTTGGGAAGCTGAGGATGAGATGAAAAAGAAATATCCCGAGTTGTTTAAGGCATGGTGAGTTACGGGGACGTAACTCGTTTTCTTTAAGGGGGGTAGAATGAGGTAGAATTTCGCACTTTTCCCTATATTTTCAGATATTTTTGTTCTTTTTGCATATTTTTAATGGTTATTTCAAGTAATTTTGATTTCAAAGAGACATTAAAGGCAAAATTATAACAAAAGAGTACAACAATATTATACAAAGTTTGGAAAAAGTATAACAAAAGAGTACAGCACTTGCCGGTAGCGGCGGCCACCAGGTGGGCGTGGCAGCAGCCCGGCCTTGGTGGTCGTGCGCCCCTTTAGAAAAAAAAATTGTTCTTTTGATTTTTAATTTAATCCACCCTTGATCTAATTATTGATTTTGAGTTTTGTGATGATTTTTATGATGTTTGATTTTAAGTATGATGTTAATAAATTTTCAGATTTGGTTTTGAATTAAAAAGCCCCAAATTATAAACCCTAGGTTTCTAAGTTAACGTATATTGATGGAAATTGTTTTTGGGTTATTCAAATTATTGAAATAAGTGTTTTAAAACACAATTACAGCAATTTTAGATGATTTAATAAAGCTGCAGTTTTTATATATAAGCTATAATTATGTTTGTTGAAAAGATTTTTAATTACCCATTAATTGGGAATAGAAGTAAGGGTTTTAAATTAAATTTTAGCTTGTTTTAAAGGATTTATGAGTGATTTAAGGAGTGTATATATTGCTAGAAATTTATATTGAATAGGTAATAATGCCTCCTCTTTGTAATTTTGGTTTGTAGGAGTTTTCCAAGTGAGTGATTTTATTTAGTTGTGGCGATTTTGAGATCATAGGTACGTTCGCGTACTTGGTAATTATTTGAATATGTAGAACCATGCTAGGCTTTGATAAATTAATTCTAAGTAGTATCATGATAGGTGTTGGTTGGAATTTGTTGATTGGATTGATGTTGGTAAATGATTCGTGAGGTATGAATTATTTATGATGAATTGGTGATTGGAATTAAATATGTTGGATGTTGGATATGAACCACACTTTTATTATTATCATGATGGAAGGCATGTTTAATTAAACTAAATGTTTAATTTGGTTTGGAATATGAAAAGGAAATTTTATTATGCTTCATATAATTTTTATTGATGCTATAAGCATGAGGAATGAGCTATTTAAGTGTCTATGTACACGAGGATTAAATTATATTTTGGTGCTTAAGTGCACTTAAGGTGTTCTAAACACCGAGGGATAGGTTTTGTGGTGCTTTATGCGCTTAAGGTATTATTTAACAGCGAGGTAGTTTAAAAAGGATTCAACATTAAATTTATGTGGTCACTAATTATTCAAGAATTAAATTGGTATGTTTGATTGCTTGAATGAATTATAATGTTTGGTTATGTATGGTTTGAGAGTCATCACCAAGTATAATAATATGTAAAGCAACATATAGTGAAAGAAATTACGCACCAAAACTCTTGGAACATATATACCTTGAGTATGAACATATAGGGGGAGTTATGCGACTTTATATTTGACCATAACTTCTACTGGGAATACAAGATACTGTATATTCCTTTTTATTATTCGCAGGAATTCCGCCACTTACGAGTGGTTCTTTTATACTGGCACGGTTAGCCCCCATGTTAGTACCCCTTTATTGGGGCAGGTTAGGGGGAAACCCGTTCGATGCGTAATCAAATTAAATGGACATTGGTATTTTTCTAGTTAAGTGTTGAATGTCTTGTATGCTTGTTTACAGGTGCAACAAGGTAAGTTGTGTGATGATAGGATGAAAGCATGATAGTGTGTTTAATTACGCTTATGTACTCAGCATTGCTGATTGTGTGTTGTATCTTTGTTTGTCCTTATCTTTACCTTAGCCCTACGACGACCCATTTCTAATGGCGTGTAGTGGGGACAAGTAGAGAGAAGTTTTTCAGGTGATGAAGCGTTTTCATGATGGGCATGAGTGAAGAGCGAATCATGCTTAGTTTCCATAGGAATATGATGTGTTTTATTTGCTTTGAATATTATTTATTTTATTATGCTCATGAGACTAACGTAAAGGTTTTCAGTATTGTTTGGTTTTAAGGGCCTACAATGGTTCCAAGTTGTAGGTTGACTTTGTTTGACTTTACTTTCATTTGGTTTGACCTTTAAGTTGACTTTTTTTGAATGGTTTTAAGGAAAGTCTTCCGCTGTGTCTCTTTGATATTTGCCTTAGCCGTTTTCACGGTGGCGGTAATGTCTTAGATTTTCCTATTTCGTATTTCAAAAAGGGTAAAACAAGTATTTTAAAGGAAAGGAATTTCTAGGGTGTTACAACAACCGTCCAGTGTAGTAACTACAAGAATTATGGGCACAATATGGCAACATGCAAAGGTAGCCCAACTGCTAGAGAAGTAGCCGAGCAACAAGAGAAGATTGTGCCACAAAAGGGAGGCAATAAAGGAAAGAAAGCACAGAGACCACCTGAAAATAATGATACTGACTTCTCCCTGATTGAATTGATGATCAGTGGAAATTAGACTAGTGAAGGTGTTGATAGAACAAACAACCATAATCACCACAGTGGTACATCAAAAGGGAAAGGAGAGTCACACCAAGATCAGTCCAGCAACAACGATGCATTTGATCATAGCTTCATTGATACCATGATTGCATCTTCACAGCCCCAAGTTCAAACATCAAACCAAAGTGCAGAACTCAGGCAGCCATCGATGAGTCAGCCTTAAGTAATCAGATCCCTTAAGCAAGCCAAGATACTACTCTGAAATAGGTGACACTTATCCTTTTGTAATTATTGGGGCAAACTGTAATCACTATTTTTTTTGGGCATAAACACTAGAACTTTATGTTGTTAGTGTTATGTCAGGTATGCAAGTGGCCTAGTTTTTGTGGCAAACTTTAGTTTTTGTGGCAAACAATACTTTTAAGCCAACTTTTGTGTTATTGCTACTAAGTGATGTAATTTTTTGGGCAAACTGTGATTATATGGTACTTTTGGTTGACATTATGGAATGTTATTTAAATTGCAGAGTGTCACTATTTTTTATTTGAAATGTTATATTATCAATTCAATACAAGACTCAATATAAACAGGAATCTATAAACTATTATTAATACGCAATTTCACAAAATGATAAATAATTAAAATACCTGAATAACCGATTATGTAATTAATAACCTATAGAAAAACGAAATTACGACGATAATTAAGTAATACAATGGGTCATGAAAAGAGTGATCTTTGTGGGTCACTCATACCTCAATGATTTAAGAAGCAAGACTAAAAGTGGGACACACAAACAAAAACAAAAAACACTAGTGAGTACCCCAAAGTATACGAAACGTAAATGGCACACTCGTGAACTCATCTCATCTATCTATCAGTGCTCTCTCATTCATGGGTTATTCTCATAGCCTATTTGCCCCATTTTTGGATTCTAGATATGCGCTTAAATTGACATCCTCTTGCATTGTCCCTTTCTAGCTTGTATTTCTGTCCTACGTTCCTTTTTTATTTGTTGTCTGCTACATAAATTCCTAAGCATGATTAATCAAACTATTATATGTCTTAATTACCAAACAAGGGTTAGTGGTAACTAAATTTTCGCTCGGTCTCATAACATGAAGGTTTTGAGATCAAATCCTACATATGTTTGATGTACATCATATAAGTCCTACTAGTAATTACTGTTGAATACACGGGTAAACAAACAAAGTCTCGAGGTCTTATCACCCCCTATAAATCATACATACAAAACAAAATATAAATTTGTCAAATATGGAGCATGTATAACTCTTTTTTCTTTTCTTTTCTTTTTTTTTTCTTATTTCTTTTTTTGACATAATAGCTAGCTGCATACATGTAAAATTGAATTTGGGTAAAGAATTTATACATTGTACCAAATAAATTAATTATAATTATAATAAAAGTGGGGGAGGGAATAATACATGAATAATGAATCTCTCCTAGGTTTTGACCTTTCAAACAATGAGCAGTAACACAAATGGCTGGGGCTAAAATGATCAAATGATTCGTTCTGTAAAGGAGGTGCATAATACCAAAGTGTTTACTTTTTATTATATGATCTAATATTTACATACACATCACCTGGTTTTAAGGGACAATAAAGCATATTTTGCATGAAATTGAATCTCTTTCTCAGCAACTTTTTTGATTTTTTTTTTTTTAACAAAAGTTGGTCTAGTACTTTTTCTTTAATTTGTTACTTGCTTTGGGATGATTTCAAATCGAATGAACTTATATAATTGTGTATTATTTACCAAGTTATATAATTTAACAAGGTCTTTTATTCCATATGCTATGCATGGGAACTGTTTAATTATTGAGCTTATTTTAATCAATATAATTCTTGCTAATTGCGGTCCAATTATCTACTAGACCTGTTCAAGCATGGTTTTTTTATGTAACAAAAGTGCTATGTTTTTCAATTCTTTTGAAGGGACAAAATTTTTGAACATTGATCTATATCAATGAGAAATCTTATTTTTGTTGGCATCACAATCACTCAATGTTAGTTGATAATAATCCTTATTCCTTAGATTGGATCCTACCAAGAGCCCACCGTCTACCGAAGTACTCTGAAATATGTATACGCCCCCCTCACTCCTCCATGGAAGAAGAGTAGGGAGTGCAAGAGATGGGCGAGCTTGACCTTCTAAATGTTAATAATAATACTTTATTTGGTTTATAAATACTTGTAACAGTTTCCTGACATATGTGTCAATGCTTAAGTTTGATCACAAATATTTATGCATGCATTAAAAAATTATGAAAAATAATAATATTAAGACTACTTCAATTCAACAACATAGTACACAATAACATCTGTTTTTTATATGATAATAGAAAATGTAATCAAAGTTAATACATGGGATCTTTTTACCAAAATAGCTAATTTAACAAAAGTATATACCATAACGGCTATTTATAAATTTTAATTTCAAAACTAGCTAATTAGTCTAATTTAT